CGCCTCTGGCCCTCTACACTCACGGTGCAGTGGGAGTTGTGGTAGGGAGATGGTGCCCGTGGTCCCTGGCCCCGGCCAAGTCCTGACCGCCCACCCCTGTCCTGCTGCCTGCAGTGATCCGTGGCATCTGTGATGACTACAGTCTGGACTTCAACACCTTCTATGCATGGATAGGCCTGTGGAACAGTTTCTTCCTTGCAGTTTATGCCCTCTTCAACCTCAGCCTGATCATGAGTCTTTTCAAGAGGTGACAGGGCCTTCCCTGAACTGCTGGGACCTTCGAACTGGAGGGAGACCAAGGCCAGGGATCTGGTCAGCCAATGCCAGCCTCTGAGGTCCTATAACCCTAGAGGGGATGGGGCTCCCCCAAGGGGAAAAGCCTGGGACTGGTCCTCTTCATGGCAGTAGGAGGTGGGGGGTCACACTGAGGCTCAGGGAAGCTTCCACCCACAACAACTGACCCCCATCTTATGAGGCATATCATCCCCTGGCAGGTCAACAGAAGATATCATTGCCTTGTTCATTTCCATCACATTTGTGCTGGATGCTGTCAAGGGCATGACCAAAAGTGAGTATTTACCTAATGGCCACTTGCTGTAGAGGGATCGGAGTTAAGATGGGGGATTATGGGCTGTGGCCAGGGCAGTCAAGCAGCATGCAAGCTAAGGTTGTTCTCGTGCTCCAGGGTGCTCTGGGGAGCAGCAGCCACATGTGCTAGAGGGTGACAGGGCTGCTCCAGGCAGGATCAGAGGCCCTGGGCCACGTGAAATGCACTGTCAGACAGGGCAGAGGGACAGCGGCAAGGGGTGGGAGTAGTGGGTGGATGGGCAAATTGATGGGGCCAGCTTCCCCTCACTTCTCCCAGATGCCCCTTCTCCCTTCAGGGCCCCCTCACCCCACATCTAGGAGGAAGCTGGGCCCCCGTCTCCCAGAACCCAGATGGCTGAGGCCTTTTGGTCTGTGTCCATAGTCTTCCAGAAGTACTACTACGGCGACCACCTTGGGAATCGCAGCTTAGTTCACAATTCCCTGGTTAGCCTGCTGGACCTTGGCACCAGCCTCAACACCAGCTTCCACACTGCCCTCAACACCAGCCTCCTGGCCAGCCCGCTGGAACTGAACCCAGAGAGCAGCCAATTACCTGAGCAACCACACCGGGACACTGCCATGCTCAGCCTCCTTATCATGCTGGGCACGCTCTGGCTGGGTTACACCCTCTACCAGTTCAAGAAGAGGTGAGGGGGGGCCTAGAGGTGAGGGGAAGGAGACACAGCCCCTGGACCAGGCTGATACACCCTCCCTCCTCTGTCCCCAGCCCCTACCTGCACCCCTACATGCGGGAGATCCTGTCAGACTGTGCCCTGCCCATCGCTGTGCTCACCTTCTCCCTCATTGGCTCCTGTGGCTTCAGGGAAATTAAGAGTGAGTTGGGACTGGACCGGCATGCAGGTGGGGTGGGGTGGGGTGCCTCCATGGAGTTGCAGGCTGGAGCAGGGTCTGTATCTTGCTGCAGTGAGCAAGTTCCGCTACAACCCCCGTGAGAGCCTGTTTAAGATGGCGGAGATGCACTCGCAGTCCCTGGGAGCCATCTGCAGTGCCATGGGCCTCGGCTTCCTGCTCTCTATGCTCTTCTTCATTGAGCAGAACCTGGTGGCTGCCTTAGCTAACGCACCAGAGAACAGGTTCACAGGACTGGGAAGGGAGGGCTGAGCAGGGTGCCCCCCTCCAAGGAGCCCACAGGGGCTCTATCTGATACATGTTCCCGCCTTTCTGCTGCAGGCTAGTGAAGGGCACAGCTTACCACTGGGACCTCCTGCTCATCGCCATCATCAACACAGGGCTGTCTCTGTTTGGGATGCCCTGGATCCACGCTGCCTACCCCCACTCCCCAATGCACGTGCGGGCACTGGCTCTGGTGGAGCAGCGTGTGGAGAGTGGGCATGTTTATGACACGTGAGTGTGACAGTGGCCCCTTGAAGCCTGAGGCAAGAGTCACATGGGCCCTAAGGTGGGATAGCCCTGGGAGGGATATGGCCCTGCAGTGCCCTAGCCTGAGAGTCACAAGTGACCCAAGGTGGGGCATGGCCCCCTTGGACTGGGGCTGGAGGTGATGCGGTGCTCTGGGACCACAGGATCATGAACGTGAAGGAGACGCGGCTGACCAGCCTGGGCGCCAGCATCCTAGTGGGCCTCTCCCTCCTGCTGCTGCCCGTCCCACTGCAGTGGATCCCTAAGCCTGTGCTCTATGGCCTCTTCCTCTACATTGCCCTCACCTCCATCGATGCCAACCAGCTCTTTGAGCGTTTGGTCCTACTGCTCAAGGACCAGGTGAGCATCTGGCCCTGAGCGAGGGATGTGGGTGGGAGATACAGCAACATCAGACCTGTCCACACCTGGTTCCCTACCACCCACAGGCCTCATACCCACCCACCCATTATATCAGGAAGGTGCCTCAGAGGAAGATACACTACTTCACGGGGCTGCAGGTCCTGCAGCTGCTGCTGCTCTGTGCCTTTGGCATGAGCCCCCTGCCCTACATGAAGATGATCTTCCCCCTCATCATGATTACCATGATCCCTATCCGGTACGGGAGGGTGGGCAGAGGGCAGGTGGGACCAGCTGGGTGGAAGAGTGGGGCTGCTGAGACGGGGCCCTCTGTCTTCTCCCTGATTCAATCTTCATCTTTCTGCCTATTCCCTCCCCTCCTCAGCTACAAACTGCTGCCCCTAATCATTGAAGCCAAATACTTGGACGCCATGGATGCTGATCACTGAGCTGCTGACTGGCAGGCCCTGGCCACTCCCTGTTGGTTGGTTCCTCCTGGTCTTCCTAGCCCGGCTGTGACTTTTTGTGGGGAGGAGTGGGTGTCTTGGAGTGCTGCTCCATGCTGCCCCCCTCACAGCTGTCCCAAAGGCCTAGGGCGTGTGTGCATTGTGGGGGTTCCATGGAGTGTGCCTGTACTTCCCATTGCCTTTTGCTTTGGGTCAAAACTGCTCAGGGCAGCTTCTGCCCAGGGTGGGACTAAGTAGGATGGATTTTCTTTTGATAAAAGAGTCAGATGCCTGAAAGAGAAACCATTTCCTTGATTGTATAAGGAATCTGCTGTATGCACATTAGAGAATAAAGCTCCTGTTTCTATGCTCCTATGTGCTGTCTCACCTCTGTAGCCTGCCCTAGCCTCTGAAGGCCACTTGAGTGCCGTGGGGAAGGGGCATAAAAGGGATCCATATGTGTAGAGTGCCATTTCTGTGCTGTCACAGTGAATATTGGCCCAACAGGGAAATGAAGATCCAGGCGGCCTTTGTGCTGCCAGGAACCTACAGGGGAAGTGTCTGGGAACAGAATGTGTGAGGACCCTGAGGAGAGGGCTTGGGGCCACTATAGAGCATGACTGGCATGGGGAGATTAGCGGGACTGACAGCAAAGGGCTCTGGCTCTCAGAGACAGTTGCAGAGCAGCCTGATCGGAGACTGAAAACAGGTGTGTAGGTCAGATTGGCAGTTTTGAACTATCTGGTCTGCTGGGTAGATTCTAAGTAGGGGAGGTAGGGTAGGGCAGGGGCTGCATCCTGCACCAGGGCATTGCTGGTGGGGATCAGTCTGATGGAGGGGAGAAGGTACCATGTTTCTGGCTTGGCCATTTGGTGGTTGGCCAGGACCCATGACAGTGGCAGCAGGCAGGGGGGGCACAGGTCTAAGGCTCAGAGGAGCGCCCCTGTACGTACCTGGGAGCAGCAGCAGTGGTAGGCAGAGCACTGTTTCACAGACACCCCATCACACCACCTTTTAGGACTGACTTAATAAATACACCATAGACCAAAGGAGCAGATGAGAAGACATCTGCTACATCTAAAACGAAAAAGGAACTAAGACCTAGATATACAAAGAATTATTACAAACCAACATAAGACGGTGACTCTGATAGAAGAGGCAAAGGCTGTGAACAGGGAAAGGGGGGCCCAAAATGTTAACAGGAATGGCCACAGATGCTCAAACATCTCAGAAATGTGAGGAATGCAACCCAGCAGTGAGATGGCACCTTCCGCTTGGTAGAAATCAGATGTATGGATGATTGAGTGGGAGATGGGGTGGGGGCTTGTGCACTGATAGGGGGAATGGAGACTGAGGCACAACCAAGACACCTCACCCTCCAACCAAGCAATGCTGTTTGTGGGGAATGAGTACTAAAGTTAAAAGAAGGGGGCAGAGTGTACTGTGCAGGACAGAACTCAGGAAGGAGCTGAGTAACAAATAGGGATGCCTTGCCCCACCCATGTGGCACATGAGCCTTTGGAGCCCCCTCCCCAGTAGCCTGGGTATCCCCCTGAGTGGCGGGGGAGGGGGGCAGCAGGGATGGGAATGTCATGTCCAGAATCACCAAGTGAGGAACAGGCAAGTCCCCAGCACCCCACATTATAAATATATATATTTATTTATTTATTTTTTAATTTCAGAGAGGGAGAGATAGAAACATCAATGATGACAGAATCATTGATTGGCTGCCTCCTGCACGCCCCACTGGGGATTGAGCCCACAACCCCCCAGGCATGTGCCCTTGACTGGAATCAAACCCAGGACCCTTCAGTCCACAGGCACTCTATCCACTGAGCCAAACCAGCTAGGGCTATATGTATATTTTGAAAATGAGTTTGGAATTATAATCATAAGCCAACATTTGAGCTGTTCTGATGTATAACCCCACAAAGCAAAAGCACTAGACTTCCCACACGGCCCACTCCCAGCCCAGCAAACACCATGGAGACCAGCTGGGCATTGGCATCACTCGATGGGTGGGTGAACAGCATGGATCTGGCATGGAAAAGGTCAGCCCTTGATCTGAGATTTGAAGAATGAAAGGAACGATGTAACACCCCAGCTAGCAAGGGCATGCGAACAACCTGGACAGTGCTGTCCTTGTCCCACCAACACCCCTTCCCCTTCCACCTAAGAGATTTCCTGCTCCTGCCAAAAGGGATTCAGGAGACAGACACCCGCCTGGGGCAGATTTCAAAGCAGATACATCCAGTTTATTTTGGAGTGCCTTCCAGAATTTTTCCTTGCCGCATTTAAAACACACTGAGAATTTCTCCCCCAAACCCTCAATTCTGTCAAGGCCCATGTAATGCCTGAGGTCCTTTCGGGTCCTGGAGGCTGTAGCAGAGACCAATGGTGTCCCTTGCCCAAAGCTCCTCCAAACAGAGCCATCTGCTCCTCCAGACTGGTGAGGCTGGTCTGGTGGGGCTGTCAATCTCAACACCCCCAGGAAGTGGTAACCCTAAAGGACATACTTGGGGGGTGCCTGCCTGATGGAGGTTTCAGGCTAGCCCTCCCCAGATCCCCGTTGAGCATGCTCATCATCATTCTTAGAAATCAGGCCGCCAAAATATTCCTGCAGCTCACGCAGGGCCCGGAAGCGATGGGAGATGGCATTCTTCTCAGCTTTGGACATCTCTGCGAACCTAAGGGGCGACAGCAGCAGCTTAGAGAATAGGGAGCCCAGATCAGGGAGGGTAGAGATCCAACTCCCCTCCCCCCAGTTAATTCCAGAGCCCAAAGCTCAAGGATTCCCCAGGAAAGGGTAGCAGCTACTTTCTTAAAAATTGAAACGTTTTAAAATCCCCTATAGGTAGAAACTCATATTGATGGTTGTGGAAGGATATTAAACTTGCTCCAGTGTGTCCAAAAGTCATTAAGGGAAGCTGGGGACAAGGGGATGAGCTGCGTGTTTGATCGGTTTTGTCATCTATTGACAGGAAGCAGTGAGGCCTGACAGTAAACACAGCAGTCTCCTCTAGCACCCTGCGGGGGGAGGGCAGGTGAGCCGGCCACTGGCCTGTCCTCCATGCCAGGACTCCTGTGAGGTGGTCATCCCACACCCCAATGGTGGGCTTCAGATCTGTGCTGTCCAGTATTGGCCACTAGCCACGAGTGGCCATTTAAATTTGAACCAATTACAACTGAATAAAACGATTTCGGTTCCTCAGGCACCCTAGCCACATTTTCAATGCTCCACAGACACCTGTGGCTAATTGCTACTGGACTGGGCCGCACAGATGTATACAACACTTCTGTCACCAAAGAGCATTCTCGGACAGTGCTCTTTCATGTTGTCCTCAGCCCTGTCTGGCCACTTGGAGACCTAGGCCATGCTCCCTAAGGGCCGCTCCAGCCTGGGAAACCCGACTCCAATACTGGCCAACGTGCCCCATGTCAATAAAGGAGGAAACTGGTATGAAATACTGAGAACACTCAGCACCAAGGGGGTTTAATGTGATGCCCACCAAAGGCTGCAAAAGTGCTAACATTTTTCCAAACTAGATAGGGGGAGTCAGAAGACCACCCCCAAAACTGTCATATATATACATGACAAGCCAAGGTCAGAGAGGGGAAGACACTGAAGTCACACAGCTGCTCTGCTATGAGCTGGAGCCCGAGCCCAGGTCTCCCAGCTACGCCTGGCTGCCTCCCCCACCGTGGACTGGGCCACCCAGATTCCTTGCATCCACCCCAGCAGAGCTGCCTTCGGCTGGAACGGCAGTCTCAGAGCCTGACTCTGTCCATATCCGCGTGCCTGCACACTTGGGTGGGGCACTGACCCAACACACACCATGGCTAGTTTGACCCCAAGAAGAAACCGGGCTGCTTACGTTTGCTCGTATCCATCAGGTTGAAAGCAGGGGTCCCAGCCGAAGTCCCGGCAGCCTCGAGGTACCACAATCCGGCCCTGCCAGAGGAAAGGGGGACAGGCATGTCACTGGGTTTGGAGGAGATACACTAGAGGAAAGCAGTAGCCAGTCTGAGTTTAGTTAGGGATTTGGTTAAACCCTAGTTACTAAAAATACATGGTTTCAATGGGCCCACAATGCCTGCAAATGTTTGCTAAACACATAAGTAAAATGCAGTTCTCCCCTCACATACAGGGGAGAAACATGTACTTGATATCCCCCCTGTAGCCACCCTCCCTCTCTACAGCTTTGCCAAATGGTGACCTATTGAAGAGTCAACTGTGAAAACCTGACAGAAAACACTTTCTCCTAATAGGAGATTAAAGTCCCTAGAATTTGCAGATGAGCCCTATGCCTGCTATTACTGCATTTCTCAAAAGACAGGCTCTAACAATTAAGTGAAATAACATGATAGAAATTACTTAGCACAATGTTCAACATAAAAATGAGGTCAATAGCCTGGCCAGTGTGGCTCAGTGGTTGAGCGTCAAACTATGAACCAGGTCATGGTTTGATTCCCAATCTGGGCACATGCCTGGTTGTGGGCTCAATCCCCAGTAGGGTGCTTGCAATCAACGATTCTCTCATCATTGATGTTTCTATCTCTCCCTCTCTGAAATCAATAAAAATATATTAAAAAATTAAAAAATGGGAAGAACCAAGATGGCGACATAAGTAAACACTAGTACTTGCCACCTCCCACAACCACATCAAAATTACAACTAAAATACAGAACCATCATTCAGAACCACCTGAAAGCTGGCTGAATGGAAGTCCTACAACTAGAGAAGATGAAAGTGCATTGAGACTGGTAGGAGGCCAGAGGCATCGAACGGGCTGGTCCAATACCCACATGTGGAGTTTCTTTAATCAGGAGGGATATCTCCAAGGCCTCCTGTGAGAGGCAAGGGGTCCCAGCCCCACACCAGACCTCCAGCCCAGGGTTCCAGGGCTGGGAAGAGAAGTCCCCATAACTTTAGGCTATAAAAACTAGCGGGGCCCTAGCCGGTTTGGCTCAGTGGATAGAGCATTGGTCTGTGGACTGAAGGGTCCTGGGTTCGATTCAGGTGAAGGGCACATGCGGGGTTCTGAGCTCGGTCCCCAGTAGGAGGCGTGCAGGAGGCAGCAATCAATGATTCTCTCTCATCACTGATGTTTCTATTTCTCTCTCTCCCTCTTCCTTCCTCTCTGCTATCAATAAAAATATATTATAAAAAAAAAAAAAAAACTAGCGGGGATTGTGGCTGAGTGACACAGAGGCAGTTGGAGTCCCAGGTGTTCCTCTTAAAGGGCCTGCACAAGAACTTATATGGTCCTGAGCTTCAGTGCTGGATGGCAGCTTTGGGGGTGTCCAGGGACATACAGGGAGGAACTGGACTGTCTGGCACAGGGACAAGAACTCGAGGGTGAGTTTTCCCCAACAGTAGTGTTCACAGGGGTCATTGTTCCTGTGCTGAGACCTCTCCCATCGCAAAGCTGCCTGGCAGCCATATCTGAGTTTCCATCAGCATGGTCCACACTGTTCATTCCCCCTGGTGAATCTGAGACCCCCGCCCTATCCTATTTTCAGCCCCACCCAAGCTGTTTGCAGCTGCTTTTCCATATGAAATGGCCTGTACTGGCTCAGGTTTCAGACATTGCTAAAACTCTCTTAAACAAGCAGCAGCTGGAGTCAGCATGCCCGAAACCTATCAATAAAAGGTCCAAGACCCAGCACTAGCATCAGCCTGCCTGGCCTCACAGCTTGTCCTCGCCTGGGCACTTCCTAGCCCAATACAAATAGCAGCCATCTGCAGATTTCTCTGTAGCTCTTGCCAGGTGGCCCCAGGCAGTGGCTGACTTTGCAACTCCCAGAAGGCCTCAGAGCCAGTGACCCAGTGGACAGCTTCAGACCATACCAGATTACAACTCTACACATCCACAAGCGACACACTCAAGGGGCAGACTCAGTGAGCACCAAAGCCCCACTGAAGCACGTCCTGTTCCATAGGGGTGTCTCCTGTATAGCAGCTCTTCCATTATAGACGCAGCTGGTCCTCAGAGCCAATTGGCCTGGAGGCCAATTCCTCCCAGTGACGCCAATTCCTTCTCATGATGCCTATCAAGGCTCAACTACAACAAGACTGTGCACACAGCCCACACAGGGGCGCACCTAAAGTGCCCAGCTCAGGTGACTGGGGAGGCTGAGTCACTGGGCCCTACAGGACACCTATTACACAAGGCCACTCTACCAATTCCAGGAGACATAACAGCTCTACCTAATACATAGAAACAGGGAAGCAGTCAAAACACAGAGACAAAGAAACATGTTACAAATGAAAGCAAACAAGCTACTGGATATAGAGTTCAAAGCAATGGTTATAAGATTATTCAAAGATCTTAATAAGAGCTTCAAAGGACTTAACGAGATCTTCAAGGGACTTAGTGAGACTTTCAAGGATTTTAGTGAAAATTTCAAAGACATAAAAGACCAGTCAGGCCCTAGCTGGTTTGGCTCAGTGGATAGAGTGTCGGCCTGTGAACCAAAGGGCCGCAGGTTTGATTCTGGTCAAGGGCATGTACCTCGGTTGCAGGCTCCTCCCCGACCCGGGCCCTGGTCAGGGCATGTGCAGGAGGCAGCCTATCAATGTGTTTCACTCACATCGACGTTTCTCTCTATCTTCCCCTCTCTCTTCCACTCTCTCTCAAAATCAATGGAAAAATACCCTCGGGTGAGCATAAAAATAAAAAAAAGTCAGAAATTAAACATACACTAACTGAAATAAATAATCTATAGATTCAACAGTAGAATAGAGGGTTCCGAGAATTGAATCAACGATTTGAAATGAGGAAGCAAAAAACATCCAATCAGAAGAGCAAGAGAAAAAAGATTCCAAAAATATGAAGATAGTGTAAGGAGCCTCTAGGAAAACTTTAAGTGTATCAACATCTGCATTATGGGGGTGCCAGAAGGAGAAGAAAGAGCAAGCAATAAATTGAAAAACTATTTGAAAAAATGACTGAAAACTTCCCTAACCTGGTGAAAGAAATAGACTTACAAGTCCAGGAAGCACAGAGTCCCAAACAAGAGGAATCCAAAGAGGCCTACACCAAGATACATCATAATTAAAATGCCAAAGGTTAAAGACAAAGAAAGAATCTTAAAAGCAGTAAGAGAAGAGCAGTTAGGTACCTACACGGGAGCACTCATAAGACTGTCAGCTGATTTGTTAACAGAAACTTTGCGGCCAGAAGGGCGTGGCAAGAAATATTCATAAAGTGATGAATAGTAAGGACCTACAACAAGATTACTCTACCCAGCAAAGCTATCATTTAGAATTGAAGGTCAGATAAAGAGCTTCACAGACAAGAAAAAGCTAAAGGAGTTCATCACCACCAAACTAGTACTACATGAAATATTGAAGGGTATTCTTTAAGAAGAGGAAGAAGAAAAGATAAAAAATCTGAATAAAATGGCAATACGTATCAACAACCAAATTTAAAAATAAACGAACAAGAAATATAATGAACAAAACAAACTGATGAATAAAATAGGATCAAAGGCACGGAAAGACTAACAGTCTCAGAGGGAAGAGGGGGAAGGGTGGGAAGAGATTAAACAAAGGTCTTACATGCATGTACTAGTAGGCATTACCGATGGACACAGACAATAGGGCGGTGAAGAGATGGGGTGGGAACCAGGTAGAAGGAGGCAATGGGGGGAAAAAAGAGGGACATCTGTAATACTCTCAAAAATAAAGATTTAAAAATAGATAAAAAGAAAAAAATTAAAAATGAGCTCAATACTGGCTGTAATAAGCAAATTCCAACAGAAAAATGTTACAAAGAGAACAAATTATAGCCCAGTGTCACAAAATGTCATGTTGCCATGGAAGCAATAAAAGAAAAAAAGCAATTTAAAAAAATATAAGAGAGGTAGTAGAGGATGGGGATTAGCCACATAAATTCCAAGTTATTTAGACCAAAGGTGAGTTCTGCTCCTGCTAGCAGGGAGACTGAGGCAGTTACTACTCTGAACCATACCCAAGTAACACACTGTATGAACATCTGCAGGAAGGCAGGCAGTGTTGTCAGTACTGGGGTTACAGCAGGCCTTGCCTTGCCCTCACAGAATGGATCTTAAGCAAAACGGGCATCAAACTAGTAAACAAATTACCAAATGCCAAGTGGCTTAAAGGGAACAAACAGGGAGCTGGACTCAAGAACAGGATAGAATGACTTGGGAAGGCCTCAGGGATAGAGCAAGAACATTCCAGGCGGCCCTGGCCGGTGTGGCTCAGTTGATTGTTGTCCCACAGACTGAAAGGTCGAGGGTTCAACTTCTGGTCAGAGCACATACCCAAGTTATGGGTTCGATCTCTGGTCGGGGTGAGTACAGGAGGCAACCAGTAGATGTTTCTGTCACATTAATGTTTCTCTCTCTGAAATTAATTTAAAAAAGAACATTCCAGTCGGAGAACATTCCAGGCTGATGCCAAGGCCCTGAGATGGGGAAGGGCTTGGCATATGCATTGCTGAAAGGACAATGTGATTACGTTCAGAGAGCTCAGGTAAGAACATGAAGAAACAGGGCCACCCTGCGTAAAGTGGGGGCTGGGAAGCAACAAAGTGCATGAAGCAGCCAAAGCTGGGGCGACAATAGGGAATGGTAGGGACAGCAGTGACCTGGCCTTGTCAGCAGGGCCTGTGGTTGTTCAAAGTTCTGATTTTTGAGAGAACATTCCCGTGTTCATAGCAGCATTATTCACAGTAGCCAAAATGTGGAAGTAATAAATGCCCATCGACTGATAAATGGGTAAAGAAAATGTGGCATTACATACAATGGAGTATTGTTCGGCCTTAAAAACGAACTCATGCTACAATATGGCTGATCCTTGAAGATATTATCATAAATAAGCCAGTCACAAAAACATAAATACTACAGCATTCACTTATATAAGGTGTCTGAAGTTGGACTCTTAGAAACTGATGCCAGGGGCTAGGGAGAGGGGAAAGGGACAGTTGCTAGAGAGCTGTTGCACAAGTGTGCATATAGTTACTACTGTACACTTAAAACGGTGAAGATGGTAACTTTTATGTTATGTGTTTTTAACCACACACACACACAAATATAACCAGGTAAGGCAACACACCTCTGTGGTCAACCCCTGGTGGAGTCTCTGGGATAGCGCTTTGTGGGCTACAGTGGGACTCTTGGATTTTATCCTGAGCAGAAGAGAGAAAGCAGAGGAGTGAATCCCCACAATGTGGGAATATACTGGGGGGGTTGGGAGGGGTGCATGCAGCCAGCTAGAGGGTGGTGTGGGCCCTGTGAGAAGTTGCTGAACCTCACAGGTAGGCATGAGGTGCTGAAGGACAGCTGGGGAAGGAATAAGTTGGGGGAAGATTCTATGTGAACATGAAAAGTTAGAAAGCTTGTGTGATATTCAAGTAGTTGGATAAGGAGATTGGAACTTGGAGAAGTCTGGGATGTAGATATAGCTCTGGGAGTTGTCTTCTTCAGTTTCCACATTTGCTTCTCAGGAAGGCATACAGTGCAGAGCTCTAGGTCAGTGATGGCGAACCTATGACACGTGTGTCAGAGGTGATACGCAAACTCATTTTTTTGGTTGATTTTTCTTTGTTAAATGGCATTTAAATATATAAAATATCAAAAAATTTCTATTTGTGACACAGGGTCACATAGATTTCGGAACTGATAGCATTTTTTCTGATGGTGCCCAGGGGCAGATCTGGGCAAAGTCCTACGAACTAACTCTGGCTTGGATGCCTTCCCACTACCTTCCAGCAGAAGACACTGGGCCAAGAGCTGGAGTCTCAGCGCCCTCTGGTGGCATGTTGAGGAACCAGCATGGGTACGCACCGAGGTCCGGCCCCTGAAGAGGCGCACAGGCTCACTTGCGTTGCCAGTGCTGAATGCGAATGTACAGAGAGCATAGGCCGACTTGTCCTCGAACCCGGCCAGGAGCTGGTGGAGACCTGCGGACAGGTGCAGTGAGGGCTTAGCGCAGTCGGTGCCAGCTAGCCCCCACTCCCCACCCTGAGGCCCCAGATTGAGGGACATATGCCAAACTGGGGGTTTTATACATGTCATCAGATAGGCTTTGTGGTGATAAACCTGGAAGTTGAGTCATGGGGAGATGGGGTTCATTTGCTGTTCTACTATTATATATGCTTAAATGCTCATTAATATAAAGTGTTTTAGCAGCACCTAAAGAGGGAACATTTTGGCCTACAACTGTAGGTGACAGAGTAGGCATTGCTGGGGCCCAGGAGGGGACCCGAACCCCCAGGCCAGGCCCTGGCTGAGGCAAGGACTGGCAAGCAGTCAGTAGGGCCAGTCCTCTCACCCAAAATCAACTGCAGTGCCTTTGTTCCTCAAATTCACAGCTCCCACCACCCCTTTCCCATCCACTCCTTCCTTATCTCAGCGCCCCCTAGAGTCAGGTGTGCAGGGAAAGTATGAGCTGCAGGTTATAGATGGGGAAACTGAGGTGAACAGAAGGGCTCCATGGTGGGGCTGCAACCTGAGATTCCTGATTACAAGTGGGGCCCTCCCCTAGGCCACCTCGGGATTCTCAATTCCCAACAGATCTAAAGGAAGAAATAAAGGGAATAATACCTTCAGGCTTTAATTTCTCCAGAAACCACTTTCTGCAAGACAAACAAAGGTGAGTCAGACACCAGGAGATAGATCTTCGGACCACCTTCTTCTTGGGTTGCAGTCCCCCAGGGATTAGAGCCCTGGGACAGCCAAGCGATTCACATGATAAAGAATGTCTCGCTCTAACCGGTTTGGCTCTGTGGATAGAGCGTCAGCCTGTGGACTGAAAGGTCCCAGGTTCAATTCCAGTCAAGGGCATGTACCTTGGTTGTGGGCACATTCCCAGTAGGAGGTGTGCAGGAGGCAGCTGATCGATGTTTCTAACTCTCTATCCCTCTCTCTTCCTCTCTGTAAAAATATCAATAAAATATATATATATTTTTAAAAAAATGTCTCACCCTGGGCAGTGTGGCTCAGTTGGTTGGGCATCGTCCAGTGCACCTACAGGTTGCAGGTTCAACTCCCAGGCAGGGCACACACCCAGGTTGAGGGCTCAATCCCCAGTAGGGGGCATGCTGGAGGCATCCAGTCCATGTTTCACTCTCACATTAATGTTTCTCTCTCCCTCTCGCTTCCTCTCTAAGAAGCAATTTAAAAAATAATTTAAAACAAACAAACAAAATGTCTCAACTCAAAATGAAGACAAATCATCCAATAGGAAAAAGGAAATGGAGGCAAACAGGCAATGCATAGAAGAATCAATAATTCAATGAAGGCCTCCAGCTGAGTGATAATTAGGCAAGTGTAAATTAAAACTGCATGTGGCCCTGACTGGTTTGGCTCAGTGGATAGAGCATCGGCCTGCGGACTGAAGGGTCCCAGGTTCGATTCCGGTCAAGGGCATGTACCTTGGTTGTGGACACATCCCCAGTAGGGGGTGTGCAGGAAGCCGCTGAATCAATGTTTCTCTCTCATTGATGTTTCTAGCTCTCTATCCTTCTCCTTCTCCCTTCCTCTCTATAAAATAAATAAATAAAATATATTTAAAAAAAAAAATGCCGAAACCGGTTTGGCTCAGTGGATAGAGCGTCGGCCTGCGGACTGAGAGGTCCCAGGTTCGATTCCGGTCAAGGGCATGTACCTGGGTTGCGGGCACATCCCCGGTGGGGGATGTGCAGGAGGCGGCTGATCGATGTTTCTCTCACATCGATGTTTCTAACTCTCTGTCTCTCTCCCTTCCTCTCTGTGAAAAATCAATAAAATATATTAAAAAAAAAAAAGAAAATATACCTCCCTATACCCTTTAAAAAATAAATAAATAAAATAAAACTGCATGTGATAACACTTTATACTCCCCACATTGCAAATATGGGGCAATGTATAAGTGTATAAGTGTATACAGGTGCTACTGCCTTGGCAAACATACTGGCAATCTAAATGTTAAATATATACATATCCAAGACCCAGCAACAGCACTGGTGTGCATTTGCCCCCTAACCACTGAGAGGGGCATTTAAATTGCGGTATTTGTATCCTAGAGATACAACAAGACCTTCTAAGGGGGTCTAGAGCACTGGATAGGAAACCCATTTTCAGCTTTTTTTAAAAAATATATTTTTATTGATCTTCAGAGAGGAAGGGAGAGGGAGAGACAGAAACATCAATGATGAAAGAGAATCATTGATCGCCTGCCTCCTGCACGCCCCACACTGGGGACCAAGCCCGCAACCCGAGCATGTGCCCCTGACCAGAAACGAACCCGGAACCCTTCTGTCTGCAGGCCGACGCTCTATCCATTGAGCCAAACCAGCCAGGGCCATTTTCAGATCTTGACTTTCTTATTTTCTCTTTCCTGAAATCGATCTATCCAGGAATGTACCTCTTCAACAGGTGGGTTCCCCTTGCCCATCCCCACTTACACAATCACATTCTCACACTTTACAAAAGAAAGGCATGCCTTTCCCCATCCCTAATCCTTCCTCAGGACAATGTGAAATACTGGTGTTGATGCCAAGATAGTGAATGATCTGTGATATCAGGTAACCAATCATTTCCAAGTTCAGATGGTTTTGGGGGCAGGGCTCTGTAAGGGGGAGCACTCACATGTAGGGGCCAGGGAGGCCCCCAAGGGCATTGAAGCACAGACAAGTATCCTCCACCAGTACAGGTCCCTGCACCTGCAGCACAAGGAAATACAGCCCTGAGACCTGCTACCAGCAACAGTCCCTGCTGCAGCCCTGAATTCCCAGGCCATCCAAGCTGGAGCCAGGCCCACAGCTGGTTGGAATCTGCAGCAACAGCATATAGAGGTCCGTCCACCTGCTACCGGGATTAGCCCTTGGCTAATCTCTTATATTCGTTTGAGAGATAGGGACACCAAAAGCCCTGGCAGGCTGTAAAGCCCGCTCCAGGCACGGTAAGAGAAAAGGTGGGATTCATAGTCAGGCAGCCTGACCCTTCTGAAAGTGCTCTTTCTCAGTTCCACAGAGATAAGTGAGGGCAGGGATGGATGGATGTGGAGAGAATTTGGGGCTGGAATGTATGTATCTGAGAATTAGAGAGAGAGAATTATGTGTGTAAGTGGTGGTCTGGGGAGATACTATACAGTCAAGGGTGAGAAAGGCAGTATTCCAGGGCCAACATGAACTAACCCCAGAACAGCTAGGCCTGGGCAGGTCCTTGAGTCATACCCAATTGTGCCCACGCTATTGTTCTCCACTCATCCCCAGCAGGCACAGGCCCCAGAGCCACCAGGACAAGAGAAGTGAGCAGAGCACACATGTGGAGCAAGCACCTGGCGAGCTGCCTCCTGACACTTCTGTATGGAAATCTCGTCAGGCTCTCCCTGGTACTCCGGCACTTATGAGGAAAAAGAAATACAGAGTCAGGTCACCAGCTGACAAGAGAAATCAAACTATCTTTAAGAAATAAAACAAAACAGAGACATACGGTCAATTTTCTTTGCCACCAAAGTACATGGAAACTTGTCTCCTAGAATCTGAATGACCTGTTGCAACATGAAAGAACATTTATCACCATTTGTTAACGATTCCCCATTATTACACAAGCTCTCATCCGCCATTCTAATCAGGTACCCTAAAACTTACTAATCAGGCCCATGAGCCTCACCCCAGCCTTCAGGGTCCGCTCCAGCAGGTCAGCTCCCTCATCTCCACAATCTCCTACTTCAGGTCTCCCATGCTAACTGCCCATCCAGAATACCCACTTCCCTTCTCCATGCTCCCAGAAACCCTATTTTTTTTAAATTAACTTATTTTTTATTGAATGTATTGGGGTGACATTGGTTAATTTTTAATAACCCCTATCTGAAATTTAGCATCTCTTTTAATTGTGAATATAGAAAACCAAAATAGCATTAGCAGTCCCTCCCCCACCTCCAATGATTTTTAGAGAGAATGGAAGGAAGATAGGGAGAGGGGGACGGGGAGAAGGAGAAAGATCATTGTGAGACAAACACATTGGTTGCCTCCTACCTGAGCCCTGATCTGAGGCAGGAATCAAGCCTGAAACCCAGGTACGTGCCCTTGACCGGGAATAGAACCCAGGATCCTTCAGTGTGTAGGTAGGTCGACGCTCCAACCACTGAACCACACCGGCCAGGGTACCTGTGACCTTTAAGTCACAAATGTCACCCTGGCAGGTGTGGCTCAGTTGGTTGGGCTCCTCTCCCCCCCCCCCCCCCCCCGCAAAGGTTGCCGGGGTTGCAGGTTTGATCCCTGGTAGGGGGCGTGCAGGAGACAGCGATCACATTGATTTTTTTCCAAAAAAATCACAGATGTTGCCATATTCCCTCCCATACAGTTATAGGAGATGTCTCAAAATATCATTTACCGGTACAATCACATTTTTAAATTTTAATTTTAAAAAAGTTTATTGATTTTTAGAGAGAAAGAGAGAAATTTGTCGTTCTACTTATTTATGCATTCACTGGTTGACTCTTTATGTGCTCAACCTTGGCTATCAGGATGACACTCTAACCAACCGCACTCCTCAGCGAGGACCGACATTGAGGACCACATTTCGGGACCGCGGTAGGGCTCGGAGGGCCCAGGTGGGATGTCTGTCCCGCGCCCTGTCGCCCTCGAACCAGCAGCGCGGCCCGGATCAGCTCAGAAGGGTGTCGGGAGCCCGCTTTGAAGTCTAGCTCAGTAAGTGACCTCGGGACAGGTGCCGAGGACCCCGCCACTCCTCTGAACTCACCAGCCCTGCGGCCCCGGCCGCCCCACTCCGCGCGGTCCGACCCGTCCCGCACGCTCCATCCGACCCATCCCTGCGGGTCCGGCGCTCCGCTCCCCCGGCGCGACTCTCCCGCGTGCTTCCTCCTCCCGGAAGCCAGTTCTCCGCCCCGTCCCCAGCCGACCTGGCCACACGCTGCCCGCCCAGCCGCCTCCTGGCCGGCCCCCCACACCCTCCCGGCACCTCCTCCAGCTTCTTGGCGTTCCCCGTGACAAACACGAGCTCCTTCCCGGCCAAGGAGGCCGCCATGGTGAGCCTCAGCTACCTCGCGGCCCCACCGGAAGCCCCTCCACCGCGGGTTGCAGGCACTTCCGGCTGGCGGCGGAAGTGGGCGGCCAGCCTAGCGATCCCGGGCAAGGCAGCCTCGGGATCCCACGGCGCGCAGCGGGGCAGCGGCGACAGCCTAGCCGGCTTGCAGAGGGACAGAGCCCGGGGAGAAGAGGGCGCTTATTCCGGATGAGCAGCCTCGGGCGCCGCGCGCTAGGAGGAGGAACCTGGCGCCGCCACCCTGCTCCCCCGGGCAGCGGTCTTCCCCAGTGCAGGTTGAGCGCTCCGAGATCTGTCTCTCCCAGCCAGCGACGCTAAAAGCCGGGCCGAAAGGTACCATTCCAACCACCGGCCCCCCCGCCGCTATCGCCCCTCTCTGGAACTGGAGCACCAAGCGAAGCACAGAACTCCGTCCTTCCTACCCCGAATTGCTCAGCCCTTCGCAGTACTCACGTCTCCGCCAGATCTTTGCATCCCGAACACAGCAAGAATAGACCCACCTGGGCGACAGACCCACTGCTGTCTCCCTCCTCCAGAGACTCAGCAAGGGCAGATTTAGGGCCAGCTCTACTCATGGTGAGGCAACTTCTGTCGAAGGAGTGTCAATACCCTGGAGGTCGATCAGTGCCTGGATGAGTTATTTTTTTAAATATATTTTTATTGATTTCAGAGAGGAAGGGAGAGATAGAAACATCAATGATGAGAGAGAATCATTGATCGGCCGCCTCTCGCACGCCCCTCACTGGGGACGGAGCCCACAACCTGGGCATGTGCCCTTGACTGGAATCTAACCCGAGACCCTTCAGTCCCCAGGCCAACGCTCCATCCACTGAGCCAAACTAGCTAGGGCTGGATGAGTTATTTTGCTTAATGTTAATGACCTCTGACAATCGCGATTTTTTTTTTTAGGCCCCAGAATTTGTCCTTAGGGAATATTTAAAAATCCTTGCTCTCTAAAAACTTTGCTCAATGATCATAACATTAGTATTGCACTAAAGTACATTGCTGTGTTCCGGGGCAGGTCCTGAAGTTTCTGAGGCAGTACTATTTACACAATGTGAATTGTGAAGCTCCATGGAATTGATCTGGAAAGTAGTGGGTTAGATTCAGGTAGTGGGTAGCCCTCCCTCTATGTCATCTATCTTCCTTCTTCATGAAGTCCTAGAGCAGTGGCTCTCAACCTTCCTAATGCCTCGACCCTTTAATACAGTTCTTCATGTTGTGGTGACCCCCAACCATAAAATTATTTTCGTTGCTACTTCATAACTGTAATGTTGCTACTGTTATGAATCGTAATGTAAATATCTGATATGCAGGATGTATTTTCATTGTTACAAATTGAACATAATTAAAGCATAGTGATTAATCACAAAAACAATATGTAATTATATATGTGTTTTCCGATGGTCTTAGGCGACTCCTGTGAAAGGGTCGTTCGACCCCCAAAGGGGTCGAGACCCACAGGTTGGCGACCCACAGGTTGAGAACCGCTGTCCTAGCGGTTTCCCTGATCAAAGCTGACCTCCTGGCTGTTGAAAACTTAGGCTAAGAGGAGCTCGCCAGGGCCTGGGTACATACACCTTGTGTACTACAGACAAGCACCATGTGCTGTGTCAGTGCAAGGACCCGGGGAGTGCTGGATGTTAGAGAACCACCTTGGTTGGGGAGGCTGATCCGTCCCAGCAAGCTGTAGGAGCTCACAAAGGGTTAATGAGCAGGGAATATTGTGAGTGGATATTCACTTTAGATAGACCTCACTCTACATCTGAAGGCTTTGGAGCTCAAGAGTTTGGGGAGAGAGAGGAGATATATGAATACAAAAAAAATTGTATACAAAAGTTTGTGTATGTATGATCTTTATTCAGACTCTTGGTTGCAAGGGTCAGAAAACCCGCTTAGGCAAAACAAAACAAAAAAGAAATGTATTGATTGGTTCACTTAACTGATGAGTCTACCTATAAAGAGACAGTCAAAGTGCTTAGTTGCTCTGAACAGAAAGGGAGGAGAGCCCTGGCCAGGTAGCTCAGTTCGTAAGAGTGTTGTCCTGATAAGCCAAGGTTGTGGGTCCAATCCCTGGTCAGGACACATAAAAGAAGCAACCAATAAATCAGTAAAGCTGAAAAAGAAAAAGAAAGATAACCCGTCAATCATTCATTCATTAGATCATGCTAGAATTACAATGTGTGAATTTTTACCCCCTTTAACAAGGAATATGACTAGAAATCTCTTTAGAATTGCACTCCCCTCGATTGGGGAAATCCAGTTAAGCAAAGAAGGACGATTCTTGCCCTCAAAAGAGCTTGTCGGGTCCTATCAGTTCTACCTCTGAAATAGTTCTTGAACCAGTCCCCTCCTTTTCACCCCCACTGCTACTGTCATGAGTCCAATGCTGTTCTGAACCAGGAAGATAGCTCTCCCTGCCATTTTCCACCCCTCCTGTCTGCCCACAAATCTTAAGAGACATGATTGGGGTCCAGGACTCACCTGAGAACTGCAAATGAAAGCTATAAACATACCTAGTTGAGGCAACAAGGAAGGGTTATCTCCATTGACAGTTTGTTGTTTTGCCCTTCCAGGCAACTTCTAAGCACATGCAAATTATGAAAATTTTTAGTCTTAATTTTTACTTTTTAATAAAACTTTTTATTGTGGAAAATTTCACATATAAAAATGTCAAACTTACAAAACAGGAGGAAAAAGTAGTGTAACGAGCCCCTATATACCCATCACCCAACTTTAACAATTGTCAACATTAGCTTTTTTAAAAAAATATATTTCTTTATTGATTTCAGAGAGAAAGGGAGAAGGAGAGAGAGATAGAAACATCAATGATGAGAGAGAATCATTGATCGGCTGCCTCCTGCACACCCACCACTGGGGATCGAGCCCGAAACCCAGGCATGTGCCCTTGGCCGGAACCGAACCCGGGACCCCTCAGTCCACAGGCTGACGCTTTATCCATTGAGCCAAGCCGGCTAGGGCAACATTAGCTTTTTAAAAAATATATTTTTTATTGATTTCAGAGAGGAAGAGATAGAAACAGCAATGATGAATCATTGATCGGCTGCCGCCTGCACGCCCCCTACTGGGGATCGAGCCTGGAAACTGAATCCAACCTTGACCTCCTGATTCAACCACTGAGCCATGCCAGCTGGGCAACATTAGCTATTTTTTAAAAAAATATATTTTATTGAATTTTTACAGAGAAGAAGGGAGAGGGATAGAGAGTTAGAAACATCGATGAGAGAGATGGATCAACTGCCTCCTGCACAGCCCCCAGTAGGGATGTGCCTGCAACCAAGGTACATGCCCTTGACCGGAATCGAACCTGGGTGGGACCCTTGAGTCCGCAGGCCGACGCTCTATCCACTGAGCCAAACCTGTTCGGCAACATTAGCTATTTTTATTAAACCTCTCCTGCCCGTTTTGCTTGTTTAAATTTTAATTTTAAAATGTAAATTATGAAATATTCCAAACTTACAGAATATGATAAAATTGATGCTCAAGACTCCACCGTTCCAATTTAACAATGTGGTATTGTTTAGTACTTTTAAAACATACATAGCCCTGGCTGGCATGTTCAGTGGTTAGAGACTTGGCCTGTGTACTGAGCTCTCAATTCCTGATCATGGGCATAAGGGCATATACCTGTGTTGCAGGTCTGATCCCTGCTCTCCCCCCCTCCTTCCCCCCATCCCAGCAAGGGGCATGTGGGAGGCAACCAATCGATGTGTCTCTGTCACATTGGTATTTCTCTCTCTGTTTTTTCCCTTCTCCCTCCCCCCTGTCTTCTACTCTCTCTAAAAAAAAAAAAAAAAAAAAAAAAAATCAGTGGAAAAAATATCCTCAGGTAAGGATTAAAAAAAAAAATACACAAATGTTGTTACATTGCACATAACCATTTGCAATAATTTCCACTTATCAGATGTTAACATGTCATATTTTTTCAAATCTACCACCACCAATAACACATACATACCATTGGTCCTGGGATCTTTATGATATCACACACACAAAAGATTTCATACTACTTTAATAACAAATTCCCAGAACTTATTTGCTTTCTAAAAAAATCTCGAGATTACATCCTGTCCCTAGTTTTTTGGAGTAAGCACCTTTAATACAGGAGCTAAGATAGGAGAGAAGAGGATTTTTTTGCATTCTTAGGCCTTGATTTTCTTCAGCTAGAACTCCAGCTCCTTGCCCTTGAACACGTAACCATCTGCTCAGCCTCGTTGGTCTGGTCTTGAAGCGATGCACGCAAGAAACCTGACCTGCCTGGCTGGGCGTGGCTCGTGGTTGAACGTCAACCTATGAACCAGGTTCAATTCCCAATGCTTGGGTTGCAGGCTTGATCCCTGGTAGGAGGCATGCAGGAGGCAGCCGATCAATGATTCTCTCTCATCATTGATGTTTCTCTCTCCCCTTCTCCCTTCCTTTCTGAAATCAATAAAAATATATATTAAAAAAAAGAAGCTTGCCTGCTGGAACTGCTCTTCTAGAAGGCTACTGATTTTGGCATTCTTTTCCCCTTCATCATCATATTTCTTCTGACTTATTTTTGTTGTTGTTAATCCTCACCCAAGATATTTGTCCATTGATTTTTAGGGAGAGTAGAAGAGAGAGGGGAAGACAAAGAGAAACATCCATGTGAGAGAAACACATCAATTGGTTGCCTCCCACAGGAGCCCGGGCCAGGGCCTGAGCCAAACTGTCTAGGGCTTGACTTTTGATTTGTTTGTTTGTTTAAAATCTCTTCCTCCTCACAAGTCAGCTTGGCCCCCCTCTTGCAGCCCAGGGGGCAGTGCATTGTGGGACTGGTACTACTGTCAGTAGGGTGTGCTGTCAATGAGCATGATGCAGTGTTTTACAGGAGTCTTGGTACAGACCATTTTGTTGTTGGGTGCATTGTAGACAACATCAATAATCCTTGTTTTGTGCCCACAGCACTCTGAGACCCAGGAGAAGTTGCCCATGCCCAGCTTCAAGGCATGGTACTTCTTGTTGCCTCCCCCTCCCACAGACTGAATGTATGTGAGGGTGGTGGGGGGGGATCTTAGTGTTGGCAGC